ACCCTTAGGCCCCCTCCTCGATTCAGAGATGGTCTTTCCCTTTTCACGTACATGGCCTCCTTGACTCCGCCCTCAAACTCAATGTGTATATTGTCATCATTGAAAAAGTTTCCACAACGTCACATGATACTGTCAGACTGAGTCTTTCCTCAGCTCCCACTGGTACATGTTCATGTTTAATGGTTCCTACTTTCTGTACAACCTTGAAAAAGACGCCTCCCACAAGAGCTGCAAAATCTGTATCCAACAAATCTCCTGAAAAGTCAGAAGTGAATGAGGGCCAAGGAGGTCTGATCATTCATTAGTAGGTATAACTGTTTACCTGCCTGATTTTGACCCTTATTCACACCAGCGGAGGATGACTCCATATTTAACAAATAGTCCTGTATTTATTGAGTTTATCACAGTGGAATGTTTTTATATAAGTCCGTCGACAAGAAGCTTTGTGAGGCGGTGACAACTGTGATTATTCAGAAACAGAAGAAACATCAATAACCCAAGGTCTGGAGCTACATGCATCCTTGCTCATGGCGTGAGGACGACCATGAAAAAGGAGGTGGATCAGCCCTGAACTACACAAGAGGAGCTTGTTAATGATCTAAAAGCTGTTGGGACCAAAGTCACCAAGAACACCACTGCTAACACATTATGCCATATTAGACTTGCAGCACCCACAAGATCCCCCTGTGGCGTTGCATGTACGCATATATTTCTAAGACTATCAGTTCTTTTCTAAATGCACCACAGTCGACCACCCTGAAAGCCTTTGCTGACATATGTAATCAGTTCCTTTCTTTGTGAACAAGGTTGAGTCTATCAGGTCAGGAATAGTATTTTCTACACAATCATTTCTTGGGATTGAAGCGTTTTGAGAAACTGGTCCGACGCCACATGATGTCCTGGCTGCCACCCAACACTCGACCCACTCCAGATACAGCAAACAGATCAACTGAAGGCGCCACTGTTACAACAATCCACACCACAACCTCCCAGCTAGAACAACAAAAGGGCGTTACACCAAGCTGCTCTTTGCTTTTGTTTTTTTTTTAAGTATGTTTATTGAGATTTTTTGATATAAGGAAAAACAAAGACAAAAAAACAACAGACAACACAACAGCAAGGACAAAAACACACAAATAAGGCAAAATATTACACTGCAACGAAAAAAATACTACTTCAACACTGGCAATAAACAGAAAGAAAACGCTATGGTGGAAGGCTGAGTTATTGGTGATCGATCAAACAGGACTTTGTTTTAATACATGATCTAAAAATGGCTGCCACACATCAAAGAAATTACTAAGTTTGTAAGTTTGTCCGCTAATGTAACCTAATCCTCTCCATATGCAGTAGAGCAGCCAGTTCTGTCAGCCACATTTTGAATTGAGGTACAATATCCGACTTCCAGAGAGTCAAGATCATTTTCTTAGCAATTACCATTCTGAACAAAACTGTAGTTTGTGCAGCAGAGCTGAGGTGTAAAAGGGAAGAGGAAGATCCAAACAATGCAGTTATTGGGTCCGGCTCTAATGTGCATTTATAGATACCAGAAAAACATTTAAAAATGTCCAACCAATAGTTCTGCAATTTGGGACAAGTCCAAAATAAATGAGTGAGAGAGCCTCAAGTTTACAACGATCACATGTTGGACTGATAGAAGGAGAAACCCTGTGCAGTTTAGTTTTTGAATAATGAAGTCTGTGAAGCACTTTGAATTGAATTAACCGATGCCTTACATTTATAGAGCAACAATGGATCCTACACAGACTCCTCTCCCACACCTCAAACCAAACCAAGCTCCTCCTCCCACGCCATCTTCAAAAAGTCAGATTTAAAATTTAAATACTCAGAAAAAGCTTTCACAAAACCAGAAACCAACTTTTTAGAATCCGGGGAGCTCAGGAGTGTAAATATTGACCCCTCTTCCAGAAGAGATGGAAAATTAAGGATACTCTGACGAACATAGTTTCTTATCTGTAAATAATGAAACAAATGTGACGCACGGAGAGAGAACTTGTTCTGCAACTGAGTAAATGATGCAAACTGCCTGTCAAGTCTTTGAGAGTAATAATACCTTTCTGTGTCCAGACCTCAAAAGAGGCGTCTAAACATGAGGGTGGAAATGCATGATTACAATATACTGGAGTATGGATCGAAGTGTCTGGTAGAGAACAACCTCTTTTGATCTGACTAAAGATTTTAACGCAGTTCGAAACTATAAAATTATTGACCTTGGTTCGCGGATTAGAGGACGAAAAAAGGAGAGCACGGAGGGAACTATTCTCAACCCCACCACTCTCTATGACCACCCGGGGTGGGGTATCGGCAGACATGACCTTTTTGTACCCTTCCTGCCAGTGAGCAAGAGTTCTAGCATTTGCAGCCCAATAATAAACCTGAAACAGTGGCAGAGCAAATCAACTTTTGATGAACTTTTGATATCCTGTGAGTTTTAAAGCCCCAAACAAATGGTAATACTACTGAGTCGACCACAAGCAAAAATTGCTTATTCAAAAAAATAGGTGAGTTTAAAAATAAATATAGAAATTTAGGAAGGGAAACCATTTTAATTACATTAATGCGACCTACCATGGAAATAGGGAGAGCCCTCCATTTCTCAATGTCCTTTGTCAATTTTTCAACTTGTTCTAGATAATTCAACTTAAAGATCAATTTAGGATCCTTAGGCAAAATAACACCCAAGTATTTCAATCTGTCTGTAATTTTAAAAGGCAAACTTTTCAAAAAATCAACATCCAAGTTTGCAGTTAAAGCCACAAACTCACTCTTCTGCCAATTAATTGTATAACCTGAGATTTCCCCAAACAACCTCACCACATGTAAAAGTACAGGAACAGATTGCTCAGGATTTGAGAAGAACAAAACAACATCATCCGCATATAAAGAACCAGCTGCTCTTTGTTGACTTTAGTTCTACTGTAACTGACACAGACGGACAGTAAAACAGCTGGATATTGGACTTCCTTTTACCAACTGCTGCTAGATCAGAAATTTCTCTTGGCCTGTGTACAGAGAGTTAGAGGGGGACCTCATCTTTCATCAGCCCTCAGCCTTTACACCGGCTCTCCACGAGGCTGTTTACTAAGCCCCTCATGAGCACACATGACTCTGTCAGTACCCAACCAAGACAATGCAGTCATCAAGTTCACAGATGACAACACCGTTGTGGGGCTCATCTCTGGGGGAGACGGCGTACAGAGCTGAGGCTCAGATGCTATTGGATTGGTGTGCAGACAACAACCTGGTGTTGGACTTCAGAAGGACGAAGTCAGTGCTACAGCCCATCAGCATCAACAGGAAGTGTTTGGAAAGGTGTCCAGTTTCAAGTTCCTGGGTGTGCACACAGACACAGACCTCCAATTGAGCTCAAATACCTGAGAGGTTTTAAAGAAGGCCCAACAGCATCCTCCAAAAATGGACCTGAAGAGGGAGCTGCTTATTGTCTTGTACTGTTGTGCCATTGAAAGTGTGCTGACATAC